CCTCCTCTTCCGCCCGCCGACCCTCCCAAATGGTGTAGACCTTGCGATATCCCCCTATACCTCACGAGCCCGGTAGAACCCTCAAGGTCCCTCCCTCGGCGACCCCCCCTCCATCCGTCCCTCCCCATCCCGCCTCCCCCCGCATTCCCCCCCTCGCAGGAAAGGAAAGGCGATTGGGGGCGCGTGGACTTTTGCAACCTCAAGTTCGGCAGCCCAGACGCCGCCAGGAAGGTTGCCATCGCTAATTTAATCGTGGGAAGAGGAGGACGCGGAAGAGAGGTTGGGGGAGGACGAGGAGGACGAGGAGGAGGAGGAGGAAAGGAGGAGGAGGAGGAAGAGGAGCAGAGGGATAATCAAGAGAAAAGGGAGGAGGAGGAGGAGGAGGAGGAGGAGGAAAAGGACAATGGGAGAGAAGGGGGACGCCGAAGGTCGCCGAGAGAGGGCCCTTCGGCTTTGTGGTGGGCAGCGACCTCCTGTACGGTGCTTCCACCTCCTCCTCCTCCTCCTCCTCCTCCTCCTCCGACTTCTCCTCCTCCTTCTCCTCCTCCTACTCTTCCTCCTCCTCCCCTCCTCCCTCTCCTCCTGCTCCTCCTCCTCTCCTCCTCCTCCTCTTACTCCTCCTCCTCCTCCTCCTCCTCCTCCTCCTCCTCCTCCTCCTCCTCTCCTCCTCCTCCTCCTCCTCCTCCTCCTCCTCCTCCTCCTCCTCCTCCTCCTCCCCCCCCCTCCCCATCATCATCGTCATCGCCATCATCATCACATCGTGTTTCGCCCGCCTCTCTGATGTTCCTGACCCTCGCCCCCTTCATTCCCCTGGCCACCCCTTCGTGCTCCCTCCCCTCCCCTTGGGTGTCCGGCAGAGGTGGCCCTGGCGCCAGGTGCCCCCAGAACCGCCAGGGAGGCGCCAGCGGTGCCCGAAGCGGCCAGAGGCCCCAACAGAGACGGCCCCGTGAGCCAGGGCAACCTCGGGCTGGGGACCTCCCTGCGCCCACACTTCAGACGGGCCTGGTGGTGCCAATCCGAGGTTCTCGACCTCCTTTGCCCGGGGGGACGCCTCTTTCCCCCCAGGTCCATGTGGTGGTCCCAGGGCCAGAGAATGGGGGGGGAAGAGAAACCAATACCGATGCTCCCCGGACTTCTCCTGGGGCGATTTCGAGGCGAATCCGGCCGCGGCCACAGGGAGTGGGCAGTGGCATTGGCATTTTGTCCCCTGACGGCTCCGCTAGAGAAAGAAGAAATTGCGTAAACAGAAGCTTTCGGAGCCCCGCGCGGATGTCATCGGGCCCCCCCTCCTTGGCGCGCGGAGCCCGCCAGGGGGGCATCCGAGACCTCCGCGCAGAGCTCCGAAAGTGTATGCTCATGCCCCCGTTTTTCTTCGTGGGCCCCCGGGCCCGGACCTGGGGCAGGGCGCCGGGACTGGGCAGCGCACTCCGCCCGAGGCCCTGGGGACCGTGACCGCAGCCCCCTTCTGGCAGGGGACACGGCCCCGCCCGAGCCGCTCGTGGAGACGCTCGCCGCCCTGGCGCGGGCGCCGGAGACGAGCAGCGCGCAGGTCATCATGGCGATTTCAGGGGCAGCGACAGGGGGCGACCCTGGCCCCAGGGGGGTGGGGAGGTTAGGAGGAGGAGGAGGAGGAGGAGGAGGAGGACGACGACGACGACGAGGACGACGAGGAGGACGAGGACGACGAGGAGGACGAGGAGGACGAGGAGAATGAGAAGGAGGAGGAGGAGGACGAGGAGGAGGACGAGGAGGACGAGTAGGGAACGCTAAATGATGGCCCCAGAGCCCCAATCGCACACGCATGCCTAGTAGGGCTCGGGGTTGCGGGACAGACAGCCCCCCCAATGTGGTCCCGGCTGACCTCAGCAGCTCGAGTAGTCCCAGGCGGTCTCATCATCTTGGCGCCGCCTCCGCCGCCTCGTCCTCGTCCTCGTCCGCGTCCGCGTCCGCGTCCTCGTCCTCGTCGTCGTCCTCCTCCTCCTCCTCCTCCTCCTCCTCCTCCTCCTCCTCCTCCTCCCCCTCCTCCTCCTCCTCCTTGGCGGCGCCCCTGGGGCGTTCCGCGTCCCAGGGTTGAGATGTCAAGACCGCCACGGGCTACTGCTAAGGCCCGCCAGGACTGCCCGTGGGGGAGCTGTCTGTGCGCAACCCGAGGCCGTACCATGCACCACCGATTGTGGCACGAGTGCCCCGACCTGCCTGGGAACGCGCGGGTCCGCCAGCGAGGCCATATCACCGTTCTATCGGCGAGGCACCGCCGCCGATTCCAGGTCGATGGTCCCCCCAAAACAGATCCCTCCCCTTTCGTTTTCCCTCACGATCAAGAACCGCTGCGCCGACGAGGCGAAGGCCTTCTGCGCGGCGGCCGAGGCGCGCGGCATCTGGAAGGTGAGCCTGGCCGAGCCCGACGACTTCCTGGAGGGCTACAACGCCAAGTCCGCCTTCTACGGCAGCGACGAGGGCCCGGCTTATAACATCCGGGGGGGGGCCGGGGGCGGCTTCGGCCCAGGGTAACCCCCAGCTTTTCGGGCTACTCCAGAGCGCCTGGGGCACCCCGGGCCTCGCAGGGGGTGCTCCAGAGGCCACGTGGCCCCCCAGGCACAGCCAGGGCCACCCTGGGCCAGAGCCACCTCTGGCAGCACCCGAACGTCGTCCACCTCACTGTCGCCGCGCCCGCCACGGGCGAGGAGGCGGGCACAGACTGCAAGCGCCGCAGGGTGGATGGAGGCTGCCCTGGCGAACCAGTCTCGGTCTCGGCCTAGTGCCGCCCGCCTTGGGCTGCCCGCGGACGACCGCCGCGGAGGCCTCGCGCCGAGGAGAAATCGGCGTCTGTCCCGTGCCAGTGCAAATCCGGTAATTTTGCGCAGCTGGCCACAATTTACCGTCGTCCGCTTCGCTCCCGTCATAAGGGGCTCTGCTTCGGAGCAGCAGTTCTGGCAAACACGGAGTCCCACAGCCTCGTGGGGTTGCGGAGCCAACACGGGGCCACACCAGCCCCGTGGGGTTCCCGAGGGCTTCCCCCGAGGGCTTCCGAGAGGGGTCGGACGACATGCCTGCCAACACGGCGTGTGACTGTCGCGAGTCGCTAACGCTACAAAATGGATGTGGCACTCTCTATTGTCAAGCCATGACGCTTATCGTTTGAACTCGTATTGCCACGTGGTCCATCATGTTTTGCGATCTTTTCGGGAGCCGTGTATACGCCCCGCGTCAAAACAACGAGTTCCCAGGGTAGTTGACACTGCCTCGTTCGGTTCGGTGTAGTAGCCCAGCACTGCACGAAAAAGTGCAATCGCACATGGTCTTCTGATACAAGTGCGAGGCTGTTGTTTGCTAAGCACGCTACAGTTAGTCTCAGCAAGATTATGATGCCTGCATGCGATCTTTCCCGTTCAGCCATATAGACGGAATTGGTGTACTACATATAGCATGTGAGCACAGGCGCATGGCTTCTAACATGACGAGTCGTGTTGGTGTTATTGATACCGTACCACGCATTTGCAAGACCATGTTGTTGAACCTCATGTTTGCGGTAATATTAGGCACACGGTTAACCGTATAATCTCAGTGCGTATGCCAGGGGAAATGGTTCCGTAATCCTAACAGTGGCATTGGTTGCCGTTCAACGGGAAGCCGTCTACCAATAGGTTGAGTAGTTCGACGGACCAAGTCGCCAGTACTAATGTTTTGGATGTGTCGTCGCCACATCACGAATATGATATGCAGGGGCCTTCTTCCTCTGAGCATGTAAGTAGTGTGCTCCTTATAGTAGAACACACATGCCCGCATGTTTCATTCATCATGGTTTCCCGCATTTCCCAAACCATCAACAAATGCATTGTCACCAGGTCGCTTATACATAGTCTTCTTCACCATTGTACATACCAGAAACATGTTCACTTACGTTGGCTTTTCACTCAGACTGGCTCATGCGATCTGGGCAACGTGCATACATAGACACGAACATTCGAAAGTTTGCCATTATTGTTGTCTCCCCAGTTCAGGCGACAGGAGCACCGATGCTGGGCTCAAGCAACAAGGGAGATGTTGTCCGAGCGGTTTGGAAATCTTCGAAAACGGCACGCATGTGAATACCAGGTTTGGCGCGTCTGCAAAGCTTAGGATCAGAAGTGCACGGGCTGGGGGGAACCGTTGCGTTCAAGTAGTCCCCCCGCTCATGCTCGGGAAAAGTACCGGCTGCTCCGAGCAGGGGCCCGACGGGATACACAATTCTACGTATTGTTTCATTGGTGGTAGTTACGTGGTGTTGATTTATACTGGCCAGTGGCCCGTTTGGTCTTACACGACCCTAACAGCCTCCCGGCGATGTCCCTTGAGCTGGCCCTCATTCTAAAAAGCTTTACCCCCATCCCTTCACCCCCCCTCTGCGCGCCGCCAATCGTTGCTGATTTATCGCGAGACGGAGTCCCAGCAGGTCCCAATCCTGCCCGCCAGGATCACCAGCGGGTCAAGGCTCAATTTCTATTCGGTTGCGGTCGCATCCAAGGCTATCCAGTTTTCTTGCCCGCTGAGTTTCTCAGCAATTCGAAGCCCCGACACTGGACCTCGCCACCAGCGCGATCATGCGTTTGTTTACTTCCCGGGTCGAAAGCTCCCCCCCACCATCGTGACAGTTGGCATCCAGATTACAGACGACTATTTCATGACCAGCGGCTTTGGGGAGAAGCTTGCTATAGCCCGCGGCAGTATGGATCCCGCGGACACGCTCGATTTCAGGGTCACCTTGTCGGGTGCCATCTTCCCTGATTGTGTCATGACCTCGTTTGGCGGCTCTTCCCACAATGCGAAGACGAGTGTCCAGGACAACGAGGTCAAGCCTTGGTCCAACCTCAAGGGTGAGGTTTCGGAGCTCACCGACGTCGCCCGCAAGGTCATTCGACCGATGCTTCGACCTCACCCGCAAGGTCTCTCTTCAATCCGTTGCCGACGCGAGTGACTTCGTGACCCAATTCGAGGCTGCAGGTGGGGTTCAACACCCAAATCCGTTATTTCCACACGTTTGTCTGTTCGGTTTCGCCGTGACATCGACTTCAAGAGTGGGCAGTTGCTCGTATCCATGGGTGGATTCCGCGGCCGGGTCACATAATATTTCAAACCCAAGGGCATCTCGTCGAACAGCAACGGCTTTGGGGGATGCGCACACGCATGTCGCAGTGATGTTGGCCTTGTTCCGCTGGCCCAGCTTCACTCCACCCTGGGCGTACCCGAGCTTGAGATGGACGCCTTCCACATATTCCGCATTGACGTGCACGCAGAAGCCCTTCGCGAGGCAGCACGCGCGCAGTTTCGCAGACCTTGTTCGTCGATGATTTTGATTGACGGTTGCATGCCAGCGTTGATCACGCTTGCCAGCGGTGCTCTTCTTGCAATAATTCTAATCGAGCTCTCGCTCGCAGCCCGCGCGCGTCAGTGTCGGGCATCGCCTCCTCCTCCCTGGCCCCCACCCTTCAATGATCTACCCTTCACTCCTTGCGATGTACCCACCTTGTCCACTTGGAACTTCTTGGAACATCTACGGGTAGTACTGTGGAGGCGTTGGTTAAGGAATGCGCCTAGGATGTTGCAGACCTTGGGGGATTCCTTATCCGATGAGGGCGGCGTTGATATCCATGGCCAAGCTTCGATTGGAGTCCCACTTGCCTCCAGACCCCGGATTCCTTGGGGCGCGCTTTGCTCTATGTCGGAGCATAGCGGGGCCTCGTAGTTTTGCGTCGGCTGCCTTCGCAGATAAGCTGCAGCGTCTGCTGCAGTACGCTGGGGACGCAGGCCGCCCAGGGCCCTGAGCAGCCAACGGCGCTCAGGGGGCTCTAGCTTGCATGCTTGTGCCTTTCTCCTTCTCTCTCTCTCTCTCTCTCCTTTGTTTTGTTCTCTCTCTCTCTCTCTCTTTCTCTCTCTCTCTCTCTCTCTCTCTCCCCGTCTCTCTCTCTCTCTCTCTCTTCCCCCGTCTCTCTCTCTCTCTCTCTCTCCCCGTCTCTCTCTCTCTCTCTCTCTTTCCCCCTCCCTCTCCCTCGAATTCATGGTTGTGCCGGCAGCGTGCCACTACCGCAACCTCCATGCTTTCAGCCCGCCACCCGCCCGAGCACGAGCGACGCGCCTGCGATCCCGCCCCACTGCTTCGCGTGCCGTGCCGTGCGCCGTTGCACATCTCGAGACTGCTCGCGGGCTCACCGTGTCTTGCTGGGAGGAGGAGGAGGAGGAGGAGGAGGAGGAGGAGGAGGAGGAAGAGGAGGAGGAGGAGGAGGAGGAGGGAGGAGGAGGGAGGAGGGAGGAGGGAGGAGGGTAATCTTTGCCCTCGCCCTTCGCGTCCCCCTCGGGTAGGAGGCTTCGCTGTCGCGCCCCGCGGGCCCAATGCGCCGCTGAGGCCGACGAGGCCACCCGTCGAGCCTTTTCGGCAGGCTCGCGTCGTGTCGACCTTCGGCGACCCCAGCGCGTGCGTGTAAGGTTGAGCGCCGCCCGTGGCCCAGGGTCGGCCCGTCGTTGAACGATCTTCAGAAGGGAAAGAAACACACAGACACAATTAATCGTCGACTCCCAGGAAAATATACAAAAATATGGGAAGTGGGGGGGAAGACAAAAAAACCCAAAATATTGGAAAATATGGGGGATCTTTTTATTTGTGTGTATTTATTTGTGTGTCCCAGGGCCCCTTCAGATCTGGCGTTAATGCAATGGCCAGTCGTTCAAGTCTGAACGATCCCCGCGGTGTCAGGAACCAAGGCCGGGGTCGACACGACGAGAATTTGTCGCAGTCAAACCAGCAAGAGTCCACAGCACAGGTTGCTCGCGAGCACGCGCAGAGCCCCGACGACGCAGAAGGCCCAAATGACCGTGGCCACGCAGAAATGCAAGGTGCACAATTGAGCTTCTACACTTGCTGCTCAAAGCACTGTCCAACGAAACGAATTCTGCGGTAACGAATGTCGCCGTTGCTGTTGGTTGCGCCATAGGTCGGGCGCGTGTCCACCAAAAAACAAGTTACTTCGCATTGGATGCGCTATAGGTTGCGCCCTCGGCCGCGGAGAATAGAACGGCCTCCGATTGGTTGCGCCATAAGTTGCGACTTCGGCCGCCGAGAGTGAAACGACCTCCGATTGGTTGCGCAATAGGTTGCGCCATTGGCCGCCGAGAACAAAAAAGCCTCCTATTGGTTGCGCCATAGGTTGCGCCTTCCGCCGCAGAGGATAAATTTGCTTCTTATCTCTTGCGTCATAGATTACGCCCTCGGCTGCCGAAGATGAAGCTATATATAGAGAGAGAGAGAGAGAGAGAGACAGAGAGAGAGAGAGAACGAGAGAGATCGACCGTACATTAGCTGTGACTTCCCAAAGTTCGAAATGGCGATGCCGATGATTATAACAAACCGACGCGTCCTGTAGATGTTGGGTGCGGCAAGCGCTACAAACGGATCATGTTCGATCGTGCTGCACGTCGACGACGCGCTGTTGGTTCTACAAAATCAGCAGCACACATGAGTTGTGGTAGGCGAAGTTGCCGCACCGCAGCAAGTGCACTAAGATTGCTCACGCGGCCGCCGGCATGATGGGCGCACCTTGTGCGTGCAAATTCCCAACGAACTTGCGACGAAGAATGCGCGCACAATTCCGCGCAATAAGAAGATTTAGGCAAGCTGTGCCTCATGGAAATGCAAATCATCGCAAGATATCCAGCTAAGGCCCTACAAATGTGATATCCGGATGGCTAGGACGAGTTGTAGAGCTTCTTGTTTACGGAATCCTGTGTATATTTGGATTGGGACACATTTCACAGCAACACGGGATTCAGTATCGACCATAAGTTTCGGTAGTGTTTAAAGGTTTCTGTATTGAGAATTGGTTTCGGTATCGACGTTTTTGGTTTCAGTATCACGGGCACTGGTTTCAGTATACTTCCGATTCCCCCTAAAATTTGTTTCGTGCAACCGTATCTTTGTTTTCCCGTGAAAGGGGAGGAGGGTAAGACGAGAAACAGAGGCAAGCGTGGCAGGATAAAGGAGTGGAAAACGGCAGGAGGAGGGGGCGAGGAAGAAGGCGCAATTTGGCCGGCTCGCGTGACGTGGCCGGTTTACGTGGCGT